GAGTATAAAAGAATAGCTCATGTTTATAAGGTGCCATGGCTGCTGTACAGCAGTTGTTCCAAAAATCATCAGAGTGCTGCTTCCATGGAATTGCTGCAGCAGCCTTGATTACTTGAAATAGTATTTGTGGACACTTTAATGGCGTCACTTTACTAGTATATCATCTCACTTTAAAAGTAGCTGACCAGCTCTTTAGCTGGTATAAATCAACATATTTCTCAGCTATAGTGGAGCTAAGGCAGTTTTATCTGCAGAGTATTTCACAGGGCAGGTGACCATATATGAAGGGTAAGGTGTAATACTTTGTCCCTTTTCCTTGGTTTCTTTCAACATCGCTTCTCGGCCTTTTGGCTAAGATCAAGTGTAGTATCTGTTCTTATCAGTTTAATATCTGATACATCCTCAATGCGAGGACTTTATATTAAATGGACTTTTGGGCTCAGTCTATTTATTTATTTATTTATTGCCAATATAAACCTTGATCTGATATTAGGAAAAACTTTACCAAAAGGGTTGCTAGGCATTGGAATGGGCTGCCCAGGGAAGTGGTTGAGTCACCATACCTGAAGTTCTTTAAAAGACATGGAGATGTAGACCTTAGTGATGTGGTTTAGTGGAGGACTTGTTAATGTTAGGGCCGAGGTTGGACTAGGTGATCTTGGAGGTCTCTTCCAACCTAGATGATTCTGTGGTAAAAGTTAAATAAGAATTGTATGCCTTCTTCAGCTGCAAAATAAGTTAAAAAAAAGTCTTATGTAGAATACACATCAGCCTTGATGATCAGGAGTTCATTTCATGAGTAATAAGTCATCAAAATAAAGGTATATGGATTCTGTTGAATGCCATTTTCGATGGAATTGTGGAAGAGTGGAGCAACTTCGTGATTCATGCAGCAGTCTGTGAAGTGAAGTATATTGTGTTCACAGAATACTAAGCCAGGGATTCAAATAGTTTTTGAATATGATCATTTTTCCTTCCTTCCTTTCTTTTTCTCTCTCTCTCTCTCCATCCCATACATTCTAGTGTTTCCATTCAGACTGCTAATGTTCATCTCTCCTTTTAGTTATTATCTTCCAGATTCAAACTGGGAGGCACTACTATACAGCGTGTGTGAAAGGATAAAACTAATATAATAAACATAACTTTGATCTGTTGGTGCTTGACTGTTTGGTGCAGCCTCTACTTTCAAAATACTCCTCTTACCTTCTGAGAAGGCTGAGACAATGTTTGAGTAGTGATCCCCCCAAAATTCATCTTCTGCTGTTGGGATTTTATTTTTATGCTTGCTGTCTCATAGCTGGATCTCAACGTTTCCCCTTCATTCTGTCATATTTATTTATTTATTTATTTATTACTGTTTTCCTGTAAAATCTGTTTTGTAACCTGCTGGTGCTGCTTACCAGAGGCACCCAGCAGCAGGCTGGATAGAGTTACCCACACATTTGATGATGGGAAAAAAGCTGATAGCCTGTGAGGCTCTCTGATCTCAACAGGATGACTTGGACATCAATTCAGAGAACTTTAAAAAGCCTTGAGAAAATTTACCAATATGTAGAGCTCATCTGAGCATTGAGAGGACAACCAAGAATGTGGGAGAAAGTCATTGTATGAGAAAAGATCTTCAGCAGCATTTTATACAGCTGAAGACAGGCATTATTGGAAAGAAGGGAAGAGGTCTTCGTTCTCAGAGTCAGCTGGAAAACCTGTCTTAAACCTCCTTTCAGAAAACGGAGTTAAGATGTGCACTGTGTGTAATATAGTCAGTAAAGTCAGGAAGTCAATAATGCAATTCATTGCAAGTTCTGTACTGCTATCTTTATTAACTGCTAGGATTTAATTCAAGCTAGTTCAACCATGTTAGCAGATGCCTAGTTTTATGTAATATTTTTAAGAGAAAGAACAGGTATACTGAAGAAAGAGGGCTGCCCTAGAACTCATTCGTTTCTGTTGCCGAGGAAATAAATGATTTCCCTTCAGAAGACTTGATCTATGCAGTTAAGTGGTCACGTACTTATTTTGCCACTTGGATGAAGTTTACATAACAGAGCTATGCTTATAAGAATGTAAGTTCCTGGCATTTTTCCAGTTATCAATATTGAAACATTAGTGATCAAGCATTTACTGAACACCATTCCTCAAATGCAGGGTCTCCACAGCATCTTGTTGCATTCATGGAATTCATTTATTTGCTTTATCTGGCTAACTGGTTCTTTTGTATTGCCAAGGTGATGAACAGATTTGACATTTAGCTGATTACTTCACCAAAATTAAACAGAAAACAGGGCAGTCATCCAAAGTTCCTTTCAGTGTGAAAGCTAATTATAAAAATGCTTTGAGCAGCAATTTCTTTTTGGATGTTAAAGTGCTTTTATTAGATTGTTCCCCTGTCATTTTAAAATTTATTGCTGGACACTTATAAATGGGGTTGCCTGATGGAGCAGAATTATTTTATCTTCTATATTTAAGATAGGAGCCAAAAGAGTATACAGCAAATTTTAGGCAGAATTTGTTACTATTTTACAGGATTCTGAATAGAAAGGAGGAAAACTAAATAGTGCTGGCCTTTATGGATAAAAATAAAGTTTATATTTTATTTTTATGCTGAAGAACGACATATATCCACTTCTATTTACAATTCAGCAACTGTCTATTTCCACAAACAATTACTTAAAAAAATCAAATAAGTAATTTAGAAGTTGAGTACAGACTCTGTATTTTTAGCAGCTTGTGTTTCATAGTGTAGATATAAACAATCAGTGCTGATGGAAAAATCTAACCTTGTACTTGTACCTCTTTCATAAGCCATTACTGGTTCTGAAATAGCACAAAACCACTCCAAAATCATTTTGCTGAGGTCATTGAATAAGAGTTGGCCAAGTGAATTTCAACTTTAAATTTAGGGCTGAAGAGTACCAAGATCTGTTACCAGCTCTTAGAAGAAGCTTCTTCTGAAGTGTGTGTGTGTGTGTATATATATATTTAATGCCTTGAAGTATATTTAAAATTTTATTCTGACTTATTAGCATCCTTCAGACTCCAGACAAGGTGTGATATAGGGAGGTTTCAAGGTGACAAAATTGAGGAGTTTTGCATATGATATTGTCTAGCACACATTGGCTACTAAATCATCTTGTGAGGACATGTATTAATTCTTGACACTGAGATCTATTAATATACCTTGAAGCCAAAAGAATTATGTGAATCTGCTGTTTCAAACTGTAGAATTCTGCCATAACTAGGAGGAAATATTTTGCTATAGGTAGATTAATGTTGAAAGGTTGTCAAGAATAAGTTTGGTGTTGAAAATTTATTCTTCCTCTTCTTGCCAGTCCGTTCAGTTTCTGTACTAAATCCCATTTGTAATCTGCACGAAAAATAGAGATATAATTTCTTTTGCATTTCTTTATGTTCTTAGGGTTTCAATGATATAGTCTATTGCCTATTAAAAAGTGCATCCTACAGAATAGTCTTCCAGGGGGTGATTTTTGCTTCCATCAATCTGAAAGCTTTTCTTATAAAACATAGTAACTGTTGGTGCTTATCAATAATTTAATTAATGCTCATTGCGAGATAGCTAATACAAGGTAACTCCACTTTCTCTATTAATAAGTTACAAAAATGTGAATACGAATTTTGCTAAATATGCTTTGTGGAAAAAAAAAAATAGATAGGACTTAAGAAGCATGTGCTGAGGAAGCTTTGAATAGACAGAGAATGCAATCTGAACAACAGGCCTATGAAAGACTCTTGGTGAGTGTATAACGTGTTTGGTTTTATTTGAAAAATAAATTTGAAAAACTTTATTAAAGTATATTTCAGTGCTAAGCCTTTTTAATTTCTCTTTGTATTTATAAAATGTCTAAGTAACTTGTAAGACAATTACAGTAATTTTTCAGAGCTTCAAATAAATAAAGATTGGTCTTAAAACTGTTGCTCAGTGAAGCTTGTAGAAGCTCTGATCATTTGTAAACTGATTTAAAACTGTAACTATAAACCTATAGTACATTAGCTATATTAGCTATGTATTTATATTAGCTATATAAAGATTTTGATTAGTGAATTTATGTGGATTTGACATTACATGCATCTTCATGCTCTCTGTCCCCTCTTAGCACATCTACCTATATGATGAATTATTCAGCAATATGTTAAACCTGGGGAGAAACATAGTGCTGTTAATTTTGAAAGTTCTTAAGTTATGTCCTTGTCTACAGAAGACCTTCTTTTCCTGGGTTGGTTATTAAGAGATGATACATATCTACAGTTTAAGCTATCCCATGGTCTATACTCTGTCACAGTCTTTCATTGTGTCAGTGGGTCTCCTATAATCCAGAATAAAATGTGCATATATGATGTATTTGCCTAAACTGCATAAGGAATTAGTTTAAAATACTATACTCTAAAAATATAAATCCATGTCCATTTTACTCGTGTTTCTGTTTCTCTTCTGAATATGCAATCCTAGTTCTAAATTGACACCCATGGAAGCTAGCTCACCAGCTGGAGTTTGACAGGTCACCGTACTTTCTGATCGTGTGTTTACTTTGTGATACATTCAGTAAAATGTGGCAAAAAAGTCTGCCTGTGAAGAACTTACTGCACACTTAAGCTTGAGTCTTACAATGGGACACACTTGAATGAATGTAGATGTGTCTTTGGCAGAGTAGCTGTTAACATTTGCTTATCAGAGTTTATTTTTGGAATAGTGCTTTAGTTGAGACTTCTATCAGAAGAGACTTTTTGTTTGACCAAAATCAGTTCAGTAGAAACATTATGGGAGAAGGAAACACAAGACTTTTTTTGGTCAACAAACTTTTATGTTGAACTTACTTTTATTTGCTAAATTGAAATTTATGTAATAAGTGCAACAAGGTTTAAGTCAATTTTAAAAATGAACTGAGTAGTTTAGCCACAGCCAAGAAAAGAGGACTTAAACACCTATTTGGTTGCAAAAGTATTTCTTGGAGTAATTCCAATCTGTACCTCTTGTTTCTCCATAGGTTGATGGGATACTGTGCCTGACTGACATTCTTACTGATAACACCCATTCTGAAGCCACTCATGCAGAAGCAGCAGCAGTAATTGCACAGATCACATCTCCACATCTCACGTTCACTCAGCATCTCAGCAGCTTTCTAGAAAATATGGAAGAAATTGTAACAGCGCTTGTTAGTAAGTTCTTTATGCAATTTTTGAGTCTTTCCAGTTAAAATAACAGATTGAGGGTAGGATTCTTCCATTAGCAAGATTCTGTGAAAAGAATGTTTGCAATTTTTTCCTCAACAGATAGAAGAACTTGGTCGTTTTTAACCCTGAAGCAGGACATTCTGCAGTTACTTAACTTTTACTCGAACGTGGACTGGAGTAAAAAATATTATGTATAGCTGTAAAAAATAATATTCATGTGAAATTCGACCATTAAAGCCACAGAAGGAACTTAGCCAAATATCCTCCTGTTCCATGTTAGTCTCTAAAATGGAGTTTCTAGTAGTTGCCAACTTTTATGGCTGTTGTGTTTTCTAAAGTTGCTCATCACTACATCTACGTTTGTATGATACTTCAGAAGAAAAGTATAATGTAGTATAATATATAGATATTGTTACAGGAAAATAAAAGTTCCTGTCTTCCTTGCCTAGGCATCTCATCTATGGTAAAATAATGTAAAGTTAACAGCAAGCTTTTCCTTAACCTTTTGTCAGTGAGGATACTTCATGAAAATAAGATGAAATTTCTCATGACTTTCTAGAGAGAAGAATCTGTTATTTCTAGCACTGTGCTCTATCCCTTTCAAATACTAGAGGCTTTCAGTCAGGTGTTCTCTCTCTGGCCATTCAGATTTTCTCAGAGCTTCATACTAGAAAGTCTAGTTTGGTCATGTAGTTTGATTTCCCATGATCATTACATTTTACCCGGATATTTCTCTGCTGAGCCCAATGATTACAGTTAAACTAGAGCACTTCAATTTTCATGATGTTGTTATTATCATTATTATTTAATGGAATAAGAAAAGAATTTAGTGCTACTGCTTGAGGATTCTGCAGTGGCTAAGAATTATCTGAGATGTGCTCAAACATTCTTGTGTATTCCTAGAGATAGTGCTGCAAAAGTCAAGGAAACACTTTTGTCTCTAATGACCAGTCTGCCCAGCAATAAATACTGAAGGTTCTGCCTTGAACCTTCTCTGAATCCAGTGGGTGGAATTAACTGTGCTGTGCCTGATTCTCCTGTAGCTAGACTACTAGAGGCATCTAAACTGACTTAAGTTGTGTTTAGAGGTTATCACAACGTACCACAGTCAAAAGAGAACCTGAATAGCCCACTGTAAGGGATTAGCAGGTGGAGAATTTCCCTGATTCTCAGTGCTCAAGTTCCACATGAATTTAGTAACACATACTCTTCTCAAGATACGTGAGCATTAAAAATAGACCATGTGTAACTTTGGGAGAGCTTTTTCAATAATCACACACCAGTGTCCTTGTAATATTTATAGCTCAGCGATTGAATTACTGTAATATGTTGAATTTTTAAAACATGCTGAAATCTAATTGCCAGGTGATTCGGATTTTAGTTAAAATACACGTGTGCAAGGAATTAAAAGACAGCTGTGTCTTCAGCACTTCTTACTGAAGCTCAAAAATATGCAGGATGACTACAAAGGAATAAGTTTAGAGACGTGTGTGCCTTGTTCTAAAGATCAGGATATATGGCAGAATTATTCTCTTATGGTTCACCTACTGTCAGATTTTTGCTTCCTCTATTTCATTTTATTTATATGACGTTGCAGGTTGAACAACATTCAGTGGAATGTTCTCTGTAGAATGATAAACTAGGTAGATCATCTCGTTAGTTAGATGAATGCTTAGGAAACACTTGGTGCCTAGGTTCATTTTTTCCATCTTTGCCTGCTTTTGGTGTCCAGAAACACAAGCATAAATAAAGTTGCCTAACGTTAATAACTTATAAAGCACCTTAAAATGTGATATACTATATTTATGCTGCAATTAAAATGATTTCTTTTTTTGTCTTGTGTATTATGAACTTGGTCATAATTATTCTTGGTCGGATATTAAGATTACTAATGAAAATTGCAGATGGTTAAATGTTGCTTTGAAACAAACATGTTTTTGCAATGAAGGGATGACTTTTATTCATCTTATTCTCTGCATTCCTAGAACTGTGCCAAGAAGCCTCATCTGGTGAAGTTTTCCTGCTGGCTTCAGCAGCTCTTGCCAATATTACTTTCTTTGATACCATGGCTTGTGAAATGCTGCTCCAGTTAAATGCAATGAAGATTCTTCTAGCAGCATGTTCAGACAAACGCATAGTGGATACTCCATATTCCCGAGATCAGGTGAGCAGTTTCTCAGCAAGATATCATGTCTGAGCACATTTGTGCAAAAGTCAGCTGGTTTCACCTCCATGTCTGTTTTGACATACTCAAACCTAATTTGCTTTCTTGTCTTCCTTTTTTTTGGTTCTTTCTGACACATTGCTCTTTCTTTATCTGTTTATGTTGCTTACAAGGATTCAAAATGGTGGCAGCTTTAAATGTAATTTTTCAGAAAAATAATAGCTAATTCATAAGTTTCTAAGACACTAGGATGTATTTTTTTCCACCATGAAGATGGCCAAACGCTGACACAGAAACAGAGATGTTGCGGAATCTCTCTTTTTAGAGGTATTCAATATTTGGCTGGACAAAGCTCTGAAATAATTAAGATATGAATAGAGAATGGGACCTAAATAAACAATTTTCAGTTCTAAGAGGAATTAGCTCCAAGAGCTGAATAAGGATCTGATCCTCAGCCCATTGACGTCGGTAGGCTTTGAATCACGTCCTAACTGCATGGTAAATGGTTTGCAAATTCTTTTGGCAAAAGCAGATGATATAGTTTTGTGTTTCCTTTTCACTTTCTTTTTTTTTTTTTCTTTGTTTCTTTTTTTATTTTTTATTTTTTAACCTGTAAAGAGACAGATCATTAAAGGTCTGTGCTAATGCACAAGAGGAAATTCTTTTGCTCCTGTCAGGCAATGCCATGTATGTTTTGGAGAAGCACTTCTTATTTGGCATATCAGTTATGAATTTCACCTCAGTAGAGTATCTGAGAGTTTCAATAACTACTACTAAGGGGTGGAGAATGTCAGTTCTGTTAACCTACTTTGGTTTATGAGACATTGTGAATACAACTAAAAGCCCAGAATTCAGTCCTCAGAAGCCCATTCCCTTCCCAATTCTGGAAATGATTAATGGCAGGCTTGGGATCTGCCACAAAAAAAAAACTCTGTGTACCTCTCTACAGGAGGTCAGGCCATGAAAATCAAGGCACAAGTGACCATAGAAACTCATTATTGGAGAGCTAGAGGGTTATCACAGGTGCTTTAGCTTGTATTAAGAGCAGTTTTCTGTCTGAGAAGCATTTATGAAAAAATTAAGTCATTTGTAATTACCATACTTTGGTACAAACAAGGACCTCAGCCTTAGACTTGGTTGTTTATTATTTCATATAAATGATTCATTTTATTTTTTTGTTATTCCTCCTCTACTCTCATAATTTTGATTTCCTTATTTATTTACATTCTCATCTTAGTTCTGCTGGGAGTTTGCAATTTGCTCTGTGGGTAGCATAGCAAGCCTTTTCTTTGCATGAGGAAGGCAGACTTTAAGAGAAACATTTATGACTTTGTTAGGTAACAGACTAGTTAGAGGCCTTCTGCAGCTTTGCAGGTTGCAGGACATCTCATTAGCTAGAATAACAGAAAACTTCAGAATGGCTTCACTCCAAGAATTAAAATTTTATCCCCAGCAACACCTTGCATTCCTTCCTGGAATGAAAAGCCAGGTCAGGAAGGTGTGATGGATTCTGTGATATGCCACAGTAAGTTTCTGAGCTGTCTCCTAGCTTTTGAGCTGTTATTTCTGCAGCAATGGGACTGTGAAATGCTACCTGTGTGTCACTCTGTTACTGAGCACTGGTTGCTCAGGTGGAACTTAAGTGCTGCTCGTCTTGACTTTAAGAGCTGTCAGTGTTGCTAGTCAAGCAATTTTGATAAGGCAACAGCCTTAAGAGAATTCTTCCTTTTAAGTCCTGAACAAGTATGTATTTGAGTAGATTATTCACCTTTCAAAAGCGTACTTGTTTTAGTGGTATATTAAAGGGCAAGTTCCGCCAATTATCATACTTCTATGGAATATTTTGCATTTTAATTTGCTGCATGCCTAGTTGTTGCAATGGGGATAACGTAGCCTTAGCTAGAGGGAAAAACAAAACAAAACAAACAAACAAAAACAAACAAAAAACAACAACAACACAGCACTACTTTAGTTTTGTTACACATTTTTAATTTAGTAACACATTCTGTAGTGAACCAACCAATGTTTCCAAATACATTAGTCCTTTGGCATTCTTGTTGATTTAAGAAAATTTTAATTTGCTAAAATAGAATGAAGCATGCTCATTGTAAGCCAAAAAATGGGAGAAAGATGGTTGATATGCAAGAAAGGAAAAGTGAGTCTTGTTTCCATCTGTGCAATTTTATATCATCTTAAAGTTGCAATATGCCCTTCCATACAGCCTTTGTAAGGACAGCTAGCGCTGATTAGTTATCACCTTCCATGATGGTATAAATAGATAACATTCTGCTCAGGAGCTGGATGTCAGATGAATTCTTTGTTGACTGCAGAAAGTATTTTCCTGCTTAGGCTCCTCCAATAGTAATTTGTCTTTTGACTTCTGAAAAGCTTTTGTGCACAAATAATGACAAACTTTTCTTATCTTCACTATCTGAAAACTGATTGACTTCCTCTTTCACTTCCCAGACAGTGTTAGATTAGATCAGGTAAGAAAACAAGAACTGAGGGCTGGTCTTGATAAAGAAGATAATCATTGTCAATTTTATAGCAGTTCGTGTTGCTTCTGTAACAGGCAGTGTTGCATCAGGATTGCTTAGTTTTATAACAAAATACTTTGTATGGGAGTTGACAGATAGAGCTCTGATTTCCAGATCAATTTAGCCTCTAGTTTTGGGTCAAAATAGATATGAATTTGCCACTTGTTCTTTGCTTACTGCAGTTACCTTTTTGTTTGCTTTTTTTTTTTTTTCCTCCTGGATAATGGAAAACTTTTACTAGAAAGGTACATATTCTTTCAGAAGTCTTCATACCTAAATTCATGCAGTATTATACCTGTCTAATATATACAGTCAGATGTCTTAATGGAGATAAAGCATTGTCAGAAGAAGGGTTTTAACCAAAACTCTTGTCATTCTGGGCCTCCTTTATTCTAACAATCATCTTAAACTCTACGTAGAAAAATATGAAATGTATATTTGTGCACAGTATATTTATGTATAATAATTTTTTTTCTCTGCATTCCCACTTGTCTCTTCAGTGTTACTAGCGTTCTCACCTTACCTGTGAAGTTGTGAAGGTAAAGTCTAACAGCTTCTGATCTTCTGTTATTCAGGCAGACAAAGAATTAATGTGGAGTGAACACATCAATTTTAAAGTGGTTATTTCTAGGTCTAAAATAAGTGACTTTTTTTTTTTTTTTTTTTTCAAAAAAGTTTTATGTGGAGAAAGGCTTTTAAACTGGAAGGAAAAAATGGAAATAGTTACTTTTTTTTTTTTTTCCCCTGCTGAATGCTTTCTGGTTTTCCTGGTGTTTGAGGGATGTTGCAGGCTCTGAAGCTATCTTCTCTCTGTTAAGATTTGAAGCCCTTAATATTATTATTCTAGGTTCCAGATATTTTTCTCTGATCCCTGATTTTTTCAGGTCATTTATTTCCTTTTGTTGCCTTTTTCCCCCCTTTTTTCCTCTCACATGGAAGCTTGCAGGGTCAAAAAGAGAGGAGAGAGAGATGCTACTATAAGATCAAGAAGTCCAGATTTTTAAATGTTACCTAGGTTCCAGTGAAAGAATTTCTTTAACAGAAAAGTATTAACAGGACTTTTAGACTTTTGAAAGTCCCTGCCTGAATAACAGGAGCTCACAGCACTACTTCTCAACCAGAGTTTCTTGAATACTGGGGAACTTATTACTCCTTGCCAACTGTTTTTTGTTTCTGCTTGTTAAGACTGGAACTTCTGACTCCATTTTTTTTTTTTTTTAATTGCTGTCCAAATTTTCCCATATGTTTGAAAGCCAGCATGGACTAACAAGAACATGGGTTAAGAATGGAGCTTGAATCATGCAGTCCATGTTAGGTGCCCACCTTCCTTACATCTGACAGAAGTAGGAGACGAAATTGTTGCTGGTCACAGAGGAAGGCAGTTGATGAAGAGTCCTCCTCACTTATGCTTTTGAAATCGTAGGAGCAAAAAGAGGTTGGAAGGGGAGCTCCCTCTCCCTGTTGGATCAGGAGAGGAATATCCCTTCCACCACTGACCCATCAGCTGGTCTTTCCCAGAGAATAAATGCATGAGATACCCTGGGACTGAGTGACCTACGGCATGTTACACAAGCAGCCAGTGACAGGGTTAGGAGCAAAGGTTGGTGATCTGCCTTTATCAGGTTTGTCCATGAACTGTGGTTGGCAAACTATATAGTAAGATTGTGCAATCCTTTCTAGCATTTACTTGCTAGACCACATTGAGAAAACATGTTTTCAATGAATATAGCTTGAAACATAGGTGATATGTTACAAAATAAATATGTTACATGCCTTTCCCTGAACTTTAACCATTACATTATATCACTGATATCCTGGTTAATTTTCTATGTGAGACTTTAATTGCTTTCCTCTTGTCTGGCCCTCCCCCATCCCCCACCACACACAAATAAGTGTGTGTATTGACTGTTTTTATGTGGTCAATGTTGTGGAGTGTTACACTTCGGGGGTCCAGCACTAAATCTCTTAAATCTTTTTGAGAGAAAATGCCTGTTTAGTTATAATTCTGCCTTTTGGATTTAGTCTTGATGCAGTATAAGGCAACATGCATCATTATGGAAAAGAAGGGGAACAGCTGGAAGAGTAAAATCCTAAAATTGTCATGTCAGCTGAAGAACTCTTTGCTATTCTTTCCTCGCTTAGTGTGGCTAGGGCTTTATTCCTAGGACCAATTCCTAATATTGTCCCTGCTCAGATTTTGGAGTACTAATTTGACTTCTCAGCATTTCTGTTTAATCATCTGTAAAGTTGGGCAGACAGTACACTTGCTCAGTGTAAAGCCTCTCTGGAGGAAACATGCTATGTCAGCACGATTCATTGCAGTTTTTATTTTCTGTCCTTGCCTGCCAGGTTCACAGTACAATCAGACTGGTGCTATTTACTGCAAAAACTATAAAGAGGAGACTGCAGCAGGCTGTACCGATCATAGAGCTACGAGTCAGAGATGGTTGTGTGCATTTTGCT